TGTGGAGAGTCCGGAAGCGTGAAGGTCTGGCGGATGCCTCGTGCACGACAGTAGGCTCGCAGAAGGCCAGAGGAGAACTCTCCGCCTCTGTCAGAGTGCAGACGCAGAACAGGAAAGTCTGAGCCGAAGCTCCGCCTGAGCTGGAGACGAGCTGCGCGGATCCAGTCGATCAACACCTCAGTGACATCACCCTTGCTGCGCAAGGGGAAGACTGTGGTGTAACGCGAGTAGTCGTCAACCACCAGCAGGAAGTAGCGCTCGTGACCCTGTCCACGGACGCGGGCCGGGCCCCACACGTCCATGTGAAGCGTCTGCAACGGGGCCTCTGTCGGAGGAAACTGAGAGGAGTGAGGGGCAGCCCGCTGGCGCCCCTCGACACAGGGGACGCAGGTAGGACCAGGCCCCGGAGGAAGGGGAGGGAGGTACCGGGGAAGACCAGAGACAAGGACACGGGAGGCCATGCTTTGGAGACGAAGCAGGGAGGGGTGACCAAGGCGGTGGTGCCAGAGGAGAGTCTCGTGAGACAGGAGACGACACGAACAGGGGGCAGACTCAGGACCAGACCTGGACGCTGCAGCAAACACTTGACCCGACGCTGCTACCTGACCAGAAGCAGAGACTGGAGGAGACGCAGTGGTCAATGTGTACAGGCTCGACCCCGGCCGACGTGTAAACGTGGCCAGGTGTCGGCCTGTCCTAGCGTCCGTGCAGTGGGTCACCCGCTGACTCGCAGGAGTGAACTGGTGAGCCCCCGCATCCTGTAGGTCAGCACCACTCACCAGGTTCATAGAGAACGAGGGGAGGTAAAGACCAGACTGGGTGACAGAGGGGGCCGCCGGACACGGGAGGACAGTGGAGAAGTGAGCAAGGACAGGACCCCCAGAGGGGTCTGCCAGGGAGACTGCAACTGGCCGACCAAGCGGTGTGAGTGTGGTGCGGTCTCGAAAGAAGGAGCGAGAATCCCCTGAGTCAAGTGTGAAGGTGTGGGAGGCCGAAGCCGACGCTGTACCTGAGAGCGCAGACTCACCAGTACCAGAGGAAGCAGACGCACTAGCACCTAGAGCAGCAGCCTCGCTAGCACCAAGAGCAGCACCCTCACCAGCACCTAGAGCAGCAGTCGCAATGCCCGGGTCGGGCAGGAAACTCCGGTAACAGTCACCCTCCTCACTAGTAGACACAGTATACATAGCAGCAAGAATAGCATCAAAGTCAAGGTCAAAGATAGCTACCCCTGCCCTAGACAGCTCGCCCCAGCGAGGGATCTCAGTGGCCTCAAGGAACTGGTGACGCCAAGCGTCCATCAGGCGGCCAAAGCAGCGCTGGGTGGGGTGCGCACCCCCACACTGCTCACCCGCACGGTCGCCGGTGCGCAGGACGTAGGTGCACGGACCAGTACCCCCACCCCGCTGGCGCGCTGCGTACCACTCACGGAGCTGCTGAGGGGACAGGGTCTCCCGACTGCGCTGCTGCTGCTGGCGCTGACCACCACTGGAGCCACTCCTCTGCGAAGATCCACGACCTCCTCCTCCTCCTCCTCCGCCACCGCCTCCTCCACCTCCGCCACCTCCACTCCCACTGCCACCGCCGCCGCCGCCTCCGCCTCCACTGCCGCCGCCGACACCTCCACCCCCGCCACCACTCCCACCACCACCCCCACCCCCTCCACTGCCTCCACTGCCGCCTCCACCGCCCCCGCTAGCTCCTTCAGCGCCCCTGCCCCCCTTGCCCTTGCCAGAGCGACGCTTCCCACTAGGGGTAGACGCCGCACCGACCAACTCCAGACCAAGGAGGTCGGCCGCAGCAGCAGAGGCAACAGAGGGCAAAAGAGGGGAGGTGGAACACCCCTCAAAGATGGGGGTGCGCGGGTCACCACGAGAGGCCCCTACAGCGACTATGCTCTTCTCCGCTGCTAGGAGGGCCTTCTCGAGGAGGTCAACGGTGAGAGTGGTGGGACAGACTGAGAGAAAGTGGTCCCTGACTACGCGAAGGGAGTTAGGGAGGCGGGTGACTATGTAGTAGAGAGTGATGTACATGGGGGGGGGGGGGTTCTTGGAGCAGAATTCAGCAGGAAGCGTAGCGCGGTAGCGAGTGTCACTAGTGCGGAGGTGCGTAATGAGGTCAACGACTGTGGGAAAGGCAGCAAGGTCAGGGAAGAGGTACGGTAGCATGAGGCGGCTCAGTGCAGCTGTGGCAGGGGAGGAGTAGCGTGCAACTACAGTGTCGTACAAGGTCTGAGCACTCTTGTACTGGCTAAAGTGCGCACGCCCAGAGGTAGGTAGGTGGCAACGCACAGCAAGACGTGCAGCAGCATCGCGCGTGGCCCACTGTGAGCGGACAGTGGCGTCAGCATCAGCAGCTGGGGCAGGAGAGGCACCAGAGGTGAGGTCAAAGAGAGAGAGTCGGTCTGCCCTATCGCACTGTAAGAAAAGCTGCAGGTCATCTATCCAGACGTCAAAGTCAATGGCCCTACCCTCAGCGTCAAAAGCGAGGACACTAGGGGTAGCCATGACAGAAGTAGACTAGCAGCGCAAACAGTAGGGTAAGGGCAGTGCGGAGAAAGAGGCGCTGCTCTTACCGGAGAGGGCGGCTCGAGCGACTCGGCGGTGCGGGCGGCTCGGCTGCTGGGCGGCTCGGCTGCTGGGCGGCTCGGCTGCTGGGCGGCTCGGTTGCTGGGCGGCTCGGCTGCTGGGCGGCTCGGCTGCTGGGCGGCTCGGGTGCTGGGCTGCTCGGCTGCTGGGCGGCTCGGCTGCTGGGCGGCTCGGCTGCTTGGCGGCTGGGTGGCTCTGCAGCTCGGGTGCTGGACGGCTGGGCTGCTCGGCGGTTCGGCTGCAGGGCGGTGCGGCGGTCGGCTGCTCGGCTGGGTATGGCGGCTGGGGCAGCTCGGGTGGCGGGCGGCGCTGCAGCAGGCGACGTGGCCGCAGGTAAGGGCGGCGGGGCCGCAGGTAAGGTGGCGGGGCCGCAGCGAAGGGCGGCGGGGCCGCAGGTAAGATGGCGGGGCCGTGGTAAGGTGGCGGGGCCGCAGCAGCAGGCAACGGGGCCGCAGGTAAGGGCGGCGGGGCCGCAGGTAAGGACGGCGGAGCCGCAGGTAAGGTGTCGGGGCCGCAGCAGCAGGCGACGGGGCCGCAGGTAAGGGCGGCGGGGCCGCAGCGAAGGGCGGCGAGGCCGCAGGTAAGGTGGCGGGGCCGCAGCGAAGGGCGGCGGGGCCGCAGGTAAGGGCGGCGGGGCCGCACGTAAGGTGGCGGGGCCGCAGCGAAGGGCGGCGGGGCCGCAGGTAAGGGCGGCGGGGCCGCAGGTAAGGGCGGCGATGCCGCAGGTAAGGTGGCGGGGCCGCAGCGAAGGGCGGCGGGGCCGCAGGTAAGGGCGGCGGGGCCGCAGGTAAGGTGGCGGGGCCGAGGGTGAGGGCGGCGCGAGGGCGGCGACGGGCCGCTAAGGGTGGCGACGGGCCGCGTAGGGCGGCGTCAGGCCGCGAAGGGCGGCGACGGGCCGAGAAAGGGCGGCGCGAGGGAGGCCGCTAGGGGCGACTCGACGGGGCCGAAGGAGGCCTAGGATGGGCGCAACGGTAGAGAGGGCACACGAGGCGCGACTCGGGCCTAAGCGAAGTGCGCTCCGGGCAGGAAATTAAATTTCGACTTGGTGGGCCCTAGGAACAGTTCCCACGAGGGAACCTGCTCGATACCATGAGAAGAAACGAGAATGAATGAACTATGAATGAATTGGGTACAAGTACTAACCCTAATTGGGTTGTACCCCTTGTGGGCTACCCCACTACAGCCTACACAATATGCATAAGCTAAAATGTTCTGACACTATGGGGATTCGCGCGCATCCTAGGCGTTAGTCGGCAAAAACGGCCAAATTCGTCGGCGCCGAACTTTCTTGTGCGATCCAAGCCGGAAAGGCTCCGACATGTGTATTTGAACATGAGCCACCCGAATATGCAATGATATTGGGGTTCTCTAATGCTTTTCCCTACACCAATGGGGATTCGTGCGCATCCAAACATGAGCCACTCGAATCTGCAATGATATTGGGGCTCTTAAATGCTTTTCCCTACAACTATGGGGATTCGTGCGCATCCTAAGCATTTGTCGGCAAAAACGGCCGAATTCATGGATGCCAAACTTTTCTTTGCGCACGAACCAAGCCGGAAAGGCTTCGATAAATCTATTTGAACATGAGCCACTCGAATCTGCAATGATATTGAGGTTCTTGAATGCTAGAAGGCGGAAGACCAAGAACCTGCTGAAGGAGCGGAACGAAGTACGGGCGAGGCCGCGCGGCGACTCCAGACACAACAGGGACAGCACCAGTACCCCCAGCGGCAGCACTAGTACCAGCAGCACCTCCAGCTCGAGTACCTCCAGCAGCACCAGTAGTACCCCAAGTAGGACTGCCTCCAGGACCGACAGAAGTAGCCTCCGCGCCAACCCCCGCAGCAGCTCCAACTCCACAAGTACCCGCAGGCCCAGCAGCTCCAGTACTCCCAGTACAAGCACCTCCGGGACCCGCGACACCAGCACCCTCAGCAGCAGCAGAAACTCCAGTACCCGCAGCACCTCCAGCTCCAGCAGCTCGCCTCCAACGCCGGGCAAACCACTCACGCAGCTCCTGTGGAGAGAGTGGCTCTCGGCGAGACGAAGTACCCGGAAAACCGCCAGGCACAGCACCAGCAGGCTCAGCTCCCTCAAGCTCCGCACCTCCAAGCGTAGCACCTCCAGGCTCAGCACCCCGAGACTCAGTACCCCCAGGCTCAGCACCCCCACTCGTAGTACCCTCAGGCTCAGCACCCCCAGGCGTAGCACCCCGAGACTCAGCACCCCCAGGCTCAGCACCCCAAGTAGTAGCACCCCCAGGCTCAGCACCCCCAGTAGTAGCACCCTCAGACTCAGCACCCCTAGGCGTAGCACCCACACGCTCAACACCCCCAGAGTCAGCACCCCCATGCTCAGCACCCTCAGCAGCACCAGAGTCACCAGTAACCTCGACAGGCTCAACTGCGTCTACCTGGGACACACATGAAGGGGCAGGACCCTGAGGGGGGAGGGGGTCTACCGGGGGGGGACCTGGCACAAGTTGCGGACAAACGCCCGAGATCCCCAGACACGGAACGCAGACGCATCGCCAACCTTCCCCGTCCACAGCAAAGCTGGGGAGGTCTCCGGCATGGAGACCCTGGGCTGAAGGTTGATCTGATGCGCCGCGTACCGGACCGAAAACAGCCACAGAAAATGGGGGGCAGCCGCATGCATCATGGACGTACGAGCGACGTCCATGACCATGCCAATGCGGCGCTCAGCAATCCCATTTTGCTGTGGAGAGTCCGGAAGCGTGAAGGTTTGGCGGATGCCTCGTGCACGATAGTAGGCTCGCAGAAGGCCAGAGGAGAACTCTCCGCCTCTGTCAGAGTGCAGACGCAGAACAGGAAAGTCCGAGCCGAAGCTCCGCCTGAGCTGGAGACGAGCTGCGCGGATCCAGTCGATCAACACCTCAGTGACATCACCCTTGCTGCGCAAGGGGAAGACTGTGGTGTAACGCAAGTAGTCGTCAACCACCAGCAGGAAGTAGCGCTCGTGACCCTGTCCACGGACGCGGGCTGGGCCCCACACGTCCATGTGAAGCGTCTGCAGCGGGGCCTCTATCGGAGGAAACTGGGAGGAGTGAGGGGCAGCCCGCTGCCGCCCCTTGACACAGGGGACGCAGGTAGGGCCAGGCCCCGGAGGAAGGGGAGGGAGGGACCAGGGAAGACCAGAGACAAGGACACGGGAGGCCATGCTTCGGAGACGAAGCAGGGAGGGGTGACCAAGGCGGTGGTGCCAGAGGAGAGTCTCGTGAGACAGGAGGCGACACGAACAGGGGGCAGACTCAGGACCAGACCTGGACGCTGCAGCTAACACCTGACCCGACGCAGCTACCTGACCAGACGCAGTGACTGGAGGAGACGCACTGGTCAGTGTGTACAGGCTCGACCCCGGCCGACGTGTAAACGTGGCCAGGTGTCGGCCTGTCCGAGCGTCCGTGTAGTGGGTCACCCGCTGGCTCGCAGGAGTGAACTGGTGAACCCCCGCATCCTGTAGGTCAGCACCACTCACCAAGTTCGTAGAGAACGAGGGGAGGTAAAGACCAGACAGGGTGCCAGAGGGGGCCGCCGAACACGGGAGGACAGTGGAGAAGTGAGCAAGGACAGGACTCCCAGAGGGGTCTGCCAGGGAGACTGCAACTGGCCGACTAAGCGGCGTGAGTGTGGTGCGGTCTCGAAAGAAGGAGCGAGAAGCCCCCGAGTCAAGTGTGAAGGTGTGGGAGGCCGAAGCCGACGCAGTACCTGAGAGCGCAGACTCACCAGTACCGGAGGAAGCAGACGCACTAGCACCTAGAGCAGCAGCCTCGCTAGCACCAAGAGCAGCAGCCTCACCAGTACCTAGAGCAGCAGTCGCAATGCCCGGGTCGGGCGGGAAACACCGGTAACAGTCACCCTCCTCACTAATAGACACAGTATACATAGCAGCAAGAATAGCATCAAATTCAAGGTCAAAGTTAGCTACCCCTGCCCTAGACAGCTCGCCCCAGCGAGGGATCTCAGTGGCCTCAGGGAACTGGTGACGCCAAGCGTCCGTCAGGCGGCCAAAGCAGCGCTGGGTGGGGTGCGCACCCCCACACTGCTCACCCGCACGGTCGCCGGTGCGCAGGACGTAGGTGCACGGACCAGTACCCCCACCCCGCTGGCGTGCAGCGTACCACTTACGGAGCTGCTGAGGGGACAGGGTCTCCCGACTGCGCTGCTGCTGCTGGCGTTGACCACCACTGGAGCCACTCCTCTGCGAAGATCCACGACCTCCTCCTCCTCCTCCTCCGCCACCGCCTCCTCCACCTCCGCCACCTCCACCACCTCCGCTCCCACCGCCACCGCCGCCTCCACCTCCACTGCCGCCGCCGACACCTCCACCCCCGCCACCACTCCCACCACCACCCCCACCCCCTCCACTGCCTCCACCGCCGCCTCCACCGCCCCCGCTAGCTCCTCCAGCGCCCCTGCCCCCCTTGCCTTTGCCAGAGCGACGCTTCCCACTAGGGGTAGACGCCGCACCGACCGACTCCAGACCAACGAGGTCGGCCGCAGCAGCAGAGGCAATAGAGGGCAAAAGAGGGGAGGGGGAACACCCCTCAAAGATGGGGGTGCGAGGGTCACCCCGAGAGGCTCCTACAGCGACTATGCTCTTTTCTGCTGCTAGGAGGGCCTTCTCGAGGAGGTCAACGGTGAGAGTGGTGGGGCAAACTGAGAGGAAGTGGTCCCTGACTACGCGAAGGGAGTCAGGGAGACGGGTGACTATGTAGTAGAGGGTGATGTACATGGGGGGGGGGGGGGGGGGGGGGGGGGGGGGGGGGGGGGTTCTTGGCGCAGAACTCAGCAGGAAGCGCAGCGCGGTAGCGAGTGTCACTAGTGCGGAGGTGCGTAATGAGGTCAGCCACTGTGGGAAAGGCAGCTAGGTCAGGGAAGAGGTACGGTAGCATGAGGCGGCTCAGTGCAGCAGTGGCAGGGGAGGAGTAGCGTGCAACTACAGCGTCGTACAAGGTCTGAGCACCCTTGTACTGGCTAAAGTGCGCACGCTCAGAAGTAGACAGGTGGCGACGCACAGCAAGACGTGCAGCAGTATCGCGCGTGGCCCACTGTGAGCGGACAGTGGCGTCAGCATCAGCAGCAGGGGCAGGAGAGGCACCAGAGGTGAGGTCAAAGAGAGAGAGTCGGTCTGCCCTATCGCACTGTAAGAAAAGCTGCAGGTCATCTATCCAGACGTCAAAGTCAATGGCCCTACCCTCAGCGTCAAAAGCGAGGACACTAGGGGTAGCCATGACAGAAGTAGACTAGCAGCGCAAACAGTAGGGTAAGGGCAGTGCGGAGAAAGAGGCGCTGCTCTTACCGGACAGGGCGGCTCAAGCGACTCGGCGGTGCGGGCGGCTCGGCTGCTGGGCGGCTCGGTGCTGGGCGGCTCGGCTGCAGGGCGGCTCGGCTGCTGAGCGGCTCAGCTGCTGGGCGGCTCGGCTGCTGGGCGGCTCGGCTGCTGGGCGGCTCGGCTGCTGGGCGGCTCGGCTGCTCGGCGGCTGGGGCAGCTCGGGTGGCGGGCGGCGCTGCAGCAGGCGACGGTGCCGCAGGTAAGGGCGGCAGGGCCGCAGGTAAGGTGGCGGGGCCGCAGGTAAGAGCGGCGGGGCCGCAGGTAAGGGCGGCGGGGCCGCAGGTAAGGTGGCGGGGCTGCAGCAACAGGCGACGGATCCGCATGTAAGGGCAGCGGGGCCACAGGTAAGGGCGGCGGGGCCGCAGGTAGGGCGGCGGGGCCGCAGGTAGGGCGGCGGGGCCGCTGGTAGGGCGGCGGGGCCGCTGGTAGGGCGACGGGGCCGGTACGCAGGTAGGGCGATGGGGCCGGGGCGCAGGTAGGGCGACGGGGCCGGGGCCGGGGCGCAGGTAGGGCGACGGGGCCGGGGTCGCAGGTAGGGCGACGGGGTCGGGGCCGGGACGCTGGTAGGGCGACGGGGCTAGGGCCGGGGCCGCAGGTATGGCGACGGGGCCAATCGCAGGTGGGGCGACGGGGCCGGGGTCGCAGGTAGGGCGACAGGGCCGGGGCGCAGGTAGGGCGACGGGGCCGGGGCCGTAGGTAGGGCGACGGGGTCGCTAGGGCGACGAATCAGGGGCCGCTAAGGCGGCGCGACGTGGCCGCTAGGGCGGCTCGACGAAGTCAGAGAGGGGAGCGCGACTCGGGCTGAGCGCGCTCCGGGCAGGAAAAAAAACTTTCGACTTGGTGGGCCCTAAGCACAGTTCCCACGCGGGAACCTGCTCGATACCATGAGAAAACTGAAACAAGAATGATTGAACTATGAATGAATTGAGTACAAGTACTAGCCCTAATTGGGTTGTACCCCTTATGGGCTACCCCACTATAGCCTACACAATATGCATAAGCTACAATGTTCTGACAATATTGAGGTTTTTGAATTCTTTTTCCTGCACATATGGGGATTTGTGCGCATCATAAGCATTTGTCGGCAAAAACAGTCGAATTCATGGGCGCCGAAGTTTTCTTTGCGCACGATCCAAGCCGGAAAGGCTTCGATAAATCTATTTGAACATGAGCCACTCGAATCTGCAATTATATTGGGGTTCTTGAATGCTTTTCCCTACATCTATGGGGATTCGTGCGCATCCTAAGCATTTGTCGGCAAAAACAGCCGAATTCATGGGCGCCAATCTTTTCTTTGTGCACAAACCAAGCCGGAAAGGCTTTGATATGTGTATTTGAACATGAGCCACTCGAATATGCAATGATATTGAGGTTCTTGAATGCTTTCCCCTACACCTACGGGGATTCGGGCGCATCCTAAGCATTTGTTGGCAAAAACAACCGAATTCATGGGCGCCGAACTTTTCTTTGCGCACGAACCAAGCCGGAAAGGCTCCGATACAGTCAGGCAACACAGAGACAAATAGTAAAATATGTAAATTTTTGAATGTAGGTAACAGTTTCTAAAATTGTGTATTGTGAATAGTGGAGATATTTGTACCAAAGCAAAATGCTTCGGCGAACTATTACTTCCCCCTCTTTTCGGTATAAAAGAGGGGGCGAAGGCCATTTGGCCTTCACCCACGTTTTTCATTTCAAATTTTCAGTTTTCAAGTTCTCAATTTTTTTCGTCCAAGCTGGCGAGGACTAAGAGTCTTCCTCGCTTCACTTCTCCCTCGACGCTCCTCTCCGACATCCTCGACCGCAACCTTGCGACTATGGCGCCAACGAACAACAATAGCCCCGGGGCTAAGGACGCAACTCCTCGGCCGTCGTCGGGGGTTTGAAAAATCAACCCGGGAAACCGGCGCGGAGAAGCGAAAACGCCCCACCGAGGAAAACGCCAAGGGGCCCCACACTGGGGTGGACGTGCTGCTCGGCGAGGGCGGCGGCACACGCTCGCGCGCGCCCTAGCCACGTATCAAAGTACTAAGTCGAGTTGGGCTTAGGAGCCATAGTAGCTTAGGAGAAGGTTTAGTGATCGAGTTCGTGAGAAAGTGTGAACGAGAATGAATGACTATGAAGTGAAGTGAATACAAATAGGAAACCCTAATTGTGTTGTACCCCCTATGGGATACCCCACTATAGCCTACAGAAACAAGTAAGCTATATGTTCTGACACACCCCCATAGGCAAAGTAGGGGAGAACAAGGGGTCACAAGACCAGTCAAGCAAAGCAAAGCAAAGCTCAGGGTGGATCACAAAGTCACCACGCATTCCGAGCACAAGTTCAAAGGCCAGAAGGCCAGTTCACATGCAAGATCATATATAGAGATATACAAGAGTCAAGCAAGCAAGAGCAAGAGTATATATAGGCGAAGGTACAAGCAAGGTCAAGAGGAGAGCAAGTGAGGCAAGACAGGCACAAGACCCAACTGCGTGCAACAACGCTGATGATCACAAGGCGCAAGTGCCTTGGTGAAGACATCAGCAGTGTTGGCCTCAGAGGCCACGTACGCAAGTCGCAACTGTCCACGCTGCTGTAGCTCACGAGCAAGAAAGTAGCGGAGAGCAATGTGCTTCGTTCTGTGCTCCAGTCGCTGCTCTCGACACAAGGCCAGCATGGCCTTGTTGTCTACGTATAGGACTGGAGGAGAACGAGGCTGCTCTCCAAGGTCGGTCAGCAGGTAGGTGAGCCAGCGTAACTCCTGTGCAGCCATAGCCCCAGCGTAGATCTCAGCCTCACAACTGGAGCCGAGAACAGAAGACGAGCGGGTAGCCCGCCACGAGACAGAGCCGGAACCAAGGCTGAAGGTGTAACCCTGTGACGACCGCTGCGTAGCCTGGTCGTCAGCCCAAGAAGCGTCTGCGTGCCCAGTGAGGACCACTGGACTGCGCCCTCCAAGCACTAGCCCCATGCCCGACGTACTGCACAAGTAGCGCAACACCCTCTTCGCTGCAGCCATGTGCTCTGGTCGGTGTCTCCCAGGAGCAACAAAGCGTGCGAGAATGCTAAGAGGGTATGCGAGGTCAGGTCGTGTGCAGGTCATCAGGTACATGAGGCAGCCAACAAGCTCTGCAAACGGGCCACTCGACTCTACGGACTCATCCGAAGGCAGAGCTGAGAGCGAGTGGCGAGTAGGCAGAGGAGTGGCCTGAGGCGAGGAGTACGTGAAGCCGAAGCGCTGAAGGACCTGCTGCACCATGTGTGACTGAGTCAGGGTAATGGTGCGGCGCGCTCTGTCCCGGGTGATCTGCAAGCCAAGGTAGCTGCGCAGTTCACCCAGGTCAGTGCACGTGTGTCTCTTCTGCAGCTCGGACTTCACGTAGGCGAGTCCAGCAGTGTCAGCTGTGGCAAAGACCAAGTCGTCGACGTACACGAGGATGTAGAACGGCGGCAGGGAGGTGTCGGTGCGCAGAAACAGCGACGGGTCGGCAGTAGAAGGAGCAAACCCAAGTGCCGCGAGCGTAGTCCTCAGTGTGTCGTGCCACTCACGTGGCGCCTGGCGGAGACCGTAGACTGGACGCCGGAGACTCCACTGGGTACCAGGAGGGAAAGACCCAGTGAAGCCAGGTGGGCGACGCAGCCAGATCTCCTCGTGCAGGCTGCCCTGCAAGAAAGCTGTGCTGAAGTCGAGAGAGTGCAGCTCGTAGTCACGGTGAGCAGCAACGTGCAGCAGAACCCGAAGAGTGGTCATCTTCGGGGTGGGGGAGAAGGTCTGAAAGTAGTCAACCCCTTGCCGCTGACTGAAGCCACGAGCCACGTAACGCGCCTTGAAGACAGGGGGAGAACCCGGCGGCCGCTTCACCCTGAAAATCCACATGCCACTGACGATGTTCGCCCCAGGAGGGGGAACAGCGTCAACGTAGGTGCCTGTGGACTTCCAGGAAGCCATCTCTGCATCCATAGCTGCCTGCCACTGAGAGGAGTAGGGACCCTCTATCGCCTCCGCGTAAGAGCGCGGAGTCGGGATGTCTGGTGCATCCGGGTCTCCCTCAGGGGCTAGCAGTACAGACGCGAGACGAGGTGAAGCGGCGGCCAGACACTGGAACTCCTCCTGCCTGTCCTCAAGGACGTCTGTGCCAAGGGCACACTCACCCCCAACGGACGGAGGACAGGCGGACTCAGACTCAGTGACAAGACGAGCAGCGTAGTCTAGACGACAGCGCGCAGCAAAGTCGACAAGCTCAGTGAAAAGGGCAGACGTAGCAGACGACTCGAAGGAAGGGTCAGTGACAGCAGTAGCAAGGAGACGCGTGACAGTAGGACTGGCAGCACGAAGAGAGTCCGACTCCGGGTCGGCAAGAGCAGGAAGAGAGGAAGCAGGAGGAGAAGGCAAAGGGGCACGCAGAGGAGCAGT